TATTTGTGAATAATTGAGGACATATTATGTTTACTGGGTCCCCAATTATGAACAGGAAGTGCTCTACATCACTTCCTGTTCATTCATGATTGTGGACATAGTAGCTCATACTATATCCACAATTTTTTCATGGACAGGAACACTCAGTATATAGTCTTCCTGTTCATTCATAACAGGGGCTGCAGAAAGAGATGGAGGACTCTGTGTCCTCCATCTCTTTTTCTATTTCAACAGGGAAATATCAGGGGTTTGATATTTCCACAGAGCCCCCGATAGTAAAGCAGAAAAATAAAATGATTTACATTTTTGTTTTGTTTTTAAATGTTAGAAAAAAAATGTGGTTTCAGCCTGACCTATATTTTTTAGTTTCTGTATGAAATTCCATTTTAGTGCACCTCTAGTTTTCACCCAATTTGCAAATCACTGTTATTTATAAGTATTTTTTATAAAATGGCTGCAGTCGCTGTTCGGCTTGGAATTTTTGTCCCAGTCTCGATTTACAAAAAAACGGACTTCTGTGAAACTGAGGGTTGCTGATGGGGCCGTGCACTGCTTGAATTTTCACTAATATGACAATCTAAGCAGTACATGGCAATCTTAAAGAAAGATCTTCCGGCTCTTCTCGCCAAACAAGAATTCAGTGCACAGCAAAGCAAAGACTGGCAAGGGACACCCAGTGATGATGTCACTGGCTCTATAAAAAGAAACATTAATTAAACTATACATTTACATTGAAATATTTTATTGAAAGTGTATCAGTGGGAGTCGAGAATAAGGGAATGCATTTTAAACATTCACTAATCTTCAGCTGTAACGTTGCAAAGAACGTCTGCCAACTAACAATTTTAATTGTGGTCATAAGCATTGCATAAAATAGATATTTTAAATAGGTCATAAAATATCTGCATATCAGTCATGTAAATATTATTCAGTAAAGTAAATATCAATCATGTGTATCATATGTGTGTGTTTTGGTTTAAATAGGAAGTTGGCTGCCATTTTAGGCATTTCTTTTTTACATGGCAATAAACTGCAGCATGAACGTTCTGTTTTGTGAAAAGATTTAGCTGGGATGAAATGAGGAATCCTCGTGCTTGGCAGTGATTGAAGAGGGTTTACCAATGTGCTGCTGTGCAGATGTCTGTTACAGCATACCGCCCTTTCTGCTTGTTACTGTAATCGGCAGTATCTGCTGATCCAGCGCTCTGGAGACCGCAAAACAAGGCCACCTCTCTTTAGCTCATCGCTTATTTTTAGTGCCTCTCGTGGGATAATATCTGTCTATAATAAAAGACCAAACCACTTTTGTTAGGTTTCTTCAGCTTCATAAAGAAGGAGCTTTAAAGAACTCCAGGTATGCAAAAAGTTAACCCTTGGAGTGGGGCTACCCCCGCACTGCAAGAGTTAAGTTATCGTTATTCTCTAGGGACCAGGATAAAGAAGATAATCACCTGATCCAAGGTCCTGATAACCTCTCCCCCTCCACTCTGGCTGTGACCTGTCCCTCAGCGTCCTCACGTCTATCAAGTCAGTGGACTGTATTAGATGTGGTGACATCAGCGGGGCTTAGCCTGTCTGAGCCTGGGGGAGAAGAGGCTGCAAGGACCGGCCTAGTAGCCAGATGGGATTGAGGATCAGGTAAGTGGATTATGTGAGCCCCTAGAGAAAAATGAGCAGTTAACCCTTGCAGTGTGGAGGTGGTTCCTCATTAAAGAGGCTGTTTTTGTAGGTCTGGTTTTAACATTATCGTAAGAAAATCTAACTTGGAGCTGTGATCTTTATTGATCGTTGGTAAATCCAAATGTTAAAATTGAATACCAAGGGCAGAACACTTCTATTAATCTTACAACTCGTATAATTTAGCTAGTCATACGTGAGGGCCTGACTCTGTTGTGGTGTGTGTGTGTGTGTGTGTTGTGTTTTTTTTTTCCCCTGTAGAATCCAGTATGTGTGTCTGTGTTACCTATATTTAAAGCTGAATTCCTGACCTGGCCAACAAAACATTTTGTTCCTTCATCAAACACAAAATAAGAATCCCGTTTTGTCTAGAGTTGATGCCCTGGCACCTGACGCTCTGATTCTTTTCTCTACTTCACCACAATGTGAGCATGCCCTCAATGTCATCACATACAATGGTAGACCAGTGGTGGCCGCTGGTCGTACATTTTATGTAATGATGTCAGCGACACGACTGGTGGCTTCATGGGACCAGTCCTCAGTACAGGAGCACGATTCATGATTTCTTAGTGTAGGTGGGCTATTTATGTGTAGATGTATTTTCTTTTAGTACACCATTGTGTTATTTTTGTGTGCAGTGTGATAAGTTTGGATTAATTTTGTGAAGCGGGGGACTCTTTACATAGTCGGTTTAGTTCCTTTATCCTATTTAGTCGTTTTTCGATCTCCAAGTTTAGCAAGTTTTGTAGTGTTAACTTCCTTTGGCAAATAGCAGTGACCTTTTATGGGCTATCGAATGATAGAGAAGGGCCATATTTCCAGGAACATTCTCGTATAAATAAAACTCCCAATTTCCATATGGCGAGAGCCTGTGTAAATCTGTTTTTCAGTTCAATTGCCAGTTTAGTTTATCCAGCAGTGTTAGGGAGAGTTTGGTGGAGCCAAGAGCAAATAGGATACTTAGGAGAATTTCAGACTTTTTAACATGCTCCAAATAGTGATGATCTATGCATATCCAAGTAATTCTATAGTAAGGATGCACTGATACCGGTTTTTCAGTATCGAGTACCAATATATTTTTTTCGGTACCCACCATATCGGTGCCATGTGTCCCAATTATCAGGAAGCCAGGCGGTGGATCATGACCCATCGCCCGGCTTCCTGATTGCCTGGGGAGCCGGTGTTCTATCGAAATAACACCGGCTTCACTTGACGAGGCTGCCTGGCTTCCTGACCAATCAGGGAAGCGGGCCATTACATGCTGCCTGGCTTCCTGATTTGGTTAGGAAGCCAGGCTTCTTAGCAACAAGTGAAGCCAGCTTCCTAGCCAATCAGGAAGCCAGGTGGCACTTCATGACCCGGCTTCCGGTGCATTGCAAAGAAACATGCTAATTTCAGTGCTGGCCCCTAGCTTGCACATCATTTCTCATTGTTGCTCCGCAGTAAGTGTTTTTCCCCGTAGTTCTCTTAGGGGTCACGAGAGGACATATACTAGCGTCCTCCCGTGACCCAAAGCTCAGTATATCACGAGCTACAGCTTGCGGTATACTGAGACTGCCGCAATACTGTCGAGATCCACCCAGCTGCGTGAGGCAGAGCCCGCTGTCACTATCAAGACGCAGAGCCAGCTGTACCTGCCCCCTCCCCCGTCCGTTCCTCCACTGCGGGGAGCTGTGATTGACAGTCACTGCTCTCTGCAGGGAGATGATCGAGAAGTGAGCGGGTGACGGTATGTGTTCGCTCACTTCCTCAATCTATTGAGCCGACGTGTGACAGTTTCATTGTCATACATCGGCTTGAACTATGAGGATGAGGGATTTTTCACTCGCCTTATAGTTCTCCTTTTAATGGAGGCATCAGAGTTGTCCCCTCTGACAGTACTAGTCTGATTGGCCAAACCTGTACTTTAACCTTGAAGAATGAAGTTCGTTAATGCCTCCTTTATACCAGTATGAGCAAAGCACAGTTTGTATTATAATGTATAAATGCCTCAACAATCAGAAGTAAAGCAAACTATAAGAATGGTTGTATGAAGACGTCTTATTCATGGCAATTAGCAAGTCATTTTGTTTCTTTTGCTAATGGTATCTTTTTTGTAAATACTTTTTTATTTTGTTTTTTTCGTACTGGGAAATGGGACTCTTGTGTTCTACTTGGCATATAATCTACCTCCTGGAGAGTCATGTGAGAGTGGCTCTACATGATGCATAAAAATGAGCATCCAAATCAACCGCTGTTTACAATGCTTCTCTTCCCCTTCTTATTGGTTCTGCCTCTGATTTTAGTACCATGGGACTGTTCAGTATAACAAAGAATGACTTGCATACAAGTTAGTAGTTATCTGTATGGGAGAGCCAATGTCTCTCAAAAAAATGTGTTGGGCAGAAACTTGAGCATAGTTAAATTCCTGAGACAAGACTCCTTCCTGCCTATGGTCATTGTGCTGTTGTCACACATTGGATGTTCTCATAGTGCAAGCTTAACAACTCATTAAAAGATTTTTGTGGGTCACACTGGCTTATATTATCTGGTTCTATCTTGTATTTAGTTCTACTTTCACTTTTTCAGTTCATATGAACTAAAGCTAGCCATAAACACCCCAAATTTCAGATGATTTCTGCTAAACCCGCCAAAATGTGAGCCTTGAGGCACCCTGTGGGCACCACCTAACAAAAGTTGATTTTTAAATCAGCTGAGTCCATTGAAAAATTCCCAGCCCAACAGTGACTGCATACTTTAAAATGTAGTCCCTGTTTGGATATTCAAGCAGGTGCCGCAACTTTCTAAATGCAATAGCTGGTGGTGGAGATTTCTCCATCCACACGGTTACGCATGGATGGGATAATCAAGTGATTGTTCTCTTGTTCAGACCGCGGTCTGGCAAGAGAAAATCTATATGTGCTAGCTCAATAGACGATGGTGTCCCTCATTATGGATGGTGTAGTTAAATGACTATTAGATTGTGTTCCAGGAAATTTCCGGGTAAGTGTCCAAACTGAAATTCTCATACAAAACATTTCTGGCCTAAATGCTGTGGCTTCTGTTGTTTTCTGGTGTTTACAAAACCATCCCCACAAGCAAATGTCATCTGAATGTGTTGTAATGCCCTTATAAGCCATTCTTGCCAGATGGGAGAATAGGAATAACATGCAAATGGTTGGCAAGAACTTTTATGAATGGTCCCGCGTGCTCATTTTTCTGTTTTCTATGTTATGCCTGTAGGAAGGATTTTTTTATTTTTCTTTGTTGAGCATTGCACTATTTCCCAAAAGATTCATACTTTTCACTGTTTCCTTTTTACATTTATTCATTTTTCTCTGCAGTTATAAGCAGCAGAAATTCAATTTATTGAGAGAGGAAAACGAAGGATATGGAAAATTGATTGCAGAGCTTGGACAGGATTTGTCTGGGAGTATAACAAGCGATTTAATCCTGGAAAATATCAAATCCCTAATTGGTAAGGCTGGGGATGTGAACCACATTTTATTTGTGCACTTTCTCTTTGTCGGTTTCCAGAAAAATTTTGAATTTAATGCATATGGCCAGTATACCTCGTATGTTTAATAGCGCTGATCTCATGCCACTGTCAGTTTGCGGGATATCTTGCCACCAATATTATTATTTTCAGGTGTATTTAGGAGTGGTCATGTGATTACTTGCTCTCCTCCTTAATTCTGCATTGCATGGACTATGTGAGGGTAGCAGTGGCACTGGAACATCACTTCTCCTTCCAGAAGCTTTCACTGCTTTAGGTAGCACTCAATAGGTGATTGACATCATCGTGCAGCAGTGTAGTGCAGTGGCAGCAACTTGGATGAAAGGGTGACAACGCTGTGGATAATTCCACAGGTGCCTTACAGTGGTGTTAACTTGATGCAAGAAGCACGCCTACATCCTTGTTGCTTATAGTATCGACAGGTTTGAATAGCGGTAAAGAAATGGACAAGGCAGAAGGCACTGTACTACTTAAGGTTACAGTGGATTCTATTTTGCCTGTGCTTTAATTGTAAGGTAGTTTTACCCTCTCTGATTTTGAGATTAAAGGAGAACTATGGGGTTAAATCTTTTCCCCATAGTTCTCAGGGTAACGGGAGGATACAAGCTAGCGTCCTCCCGTCACCCTAGGCTCAGTATACCGCGAGCCGTAGCTCGCGGTATACTGAGACGCCGCAGCTGAAGCGGATCCCGACAATTGTGCCGGGATCCGCCCAGCTGCGTGACTGACAGCCTGGCTCCTGTGACAGGATCGAGAGGTGAGCGAACGCCGGTATGTGTTCGTTCACCTCCCGATCTACTGAGCCGACCTGTGACAGTCTCATTGTCACAGGTCGGCTAGAAATATGAGGTGAGTGAAAAGCACTCACCTCATAGTTCTCCTTTTAAATATAACTTAATTCATTAGTTAAATAAACTTTTTTTATTTTACTTTACTGTTTTTCCACTTGCTGGTCCTTTTTAGACATTAGTGATGTAGCCCGTGCCTAAGAAATTCATCCTAGCAAGGGTCAGAATACAATTGGATTGGCACTGTATGTATTAGAGATGCACCGATCGTTTTTTCCGTAGCGAGTACAATTACCAATATTTATTTTTTTTCTTTTGGTACTTGCCAGTGCTGTGTGCCCCGCCTCCGGGCTTCCCGATTGCCTGGAAAGCCAGTGTTCTAACGAAAGAACACAAGCTTCACTTGCCGAGGCTTCCTGGCTTTTTGACCAATCAGGAAGCTGGGAGTCGAGTCATGACAAGCTGCCTACCAACAAGTAAAGCTGGCTCCCTAGCCAATCAAGAAGCCGGGCAGCACGTCATGACCCTGATTAGTTAGGAAGCCGGCTTCACTTTTTCCTAGGCAGCTTGGCTATCTGACCAATCAGGAAACCGGGAGGTGGGTCTCGCGGCACAGGTACTTGTTTTTTTGTATCGGAGTATTTGCACGAGTACTCATGCAAATACTCGGTATCGCCGCCGATACCGATGCTTGTATCGGTGCATCCCTAGTCATAACCCACTGCCCGGTTGCTGATTGGAAAGGAAGCCGGCTCTATGCTCCCTGTCCACGGCTGATGACAATATTGAGCGTCAGGATTTTTCATAGGCTAATTCAGTATAATCTTCACATTTCAATGGTGTGTGTGTGTGTGTGTGATTTATAGTAACAGTTATTTTTCTGTATCTTTGTGGTTGGTCAGTAAGTTGAATAATTGACCTGCCAGATAAGACATTTTCCAACACTTCTCTGGTAAGTGTATGATTAAACATTGCTTCTGTTATGAAAGATGTTTAAGGCTGCTTATAATTGTTGCTCTATGATTTTCTTATATTTTATGTGCAGCTCTAAGTTGGTGCAGTACTGGTTCGGCCGTTAAATAACATATCAGTTTATAGATTATTGTCTTATTGTTTTTTCTTTCTCTTTTCTGTTTTTTTTAGGATGTTTTAACATTGATCCAAATAGAGTATTGGATATTATCTTAGAAGTTTTTGAGTGCAGACCAGATCATGATGAGTTCTTTGTACCCTTAATTGAATCATATATGGGTATGTGTGAGCCTCAGACATTGTGTCACATCCTGGGATTTAAATTCAAGTTTTACCAGGTAAGATATACAGTTTGTGTACAAAAAGGCCTGTGCTTCTTCCACAATGTTTGTATTATCTTTTAGTTTAAATGCTTTCAATTGATTTTTTTAGGAACCCAATGGAGAAACCCCTTCATCTTTGTACAGAGTTGCAGCAGTTCTCTTACAACAAAATCTTATTGATTTGGAAGACCTCTATGTACATGTAAGTCTAAAGAAACTGAATACACATTTTTTCAGATACACCGTTTTCGAAAATGTGGTAATTTGTTCCAAAGCAACTATAGGAGATTATAAAACACCCTTTACATGAATAATGTTTTATCTTAAACAGTTTTATTCTACTATAATTGCCTCAAATCAGTCTTTGTATCGAGTTTCTAACTTCAGGGCAGAAGTTGTAATTAAACATTAAGTGTCCCTTAGCAGTATGTGCATGTGCTTAAAGGGAGGCAGGATTTTATAATGGGTGCCACTAGCTGATTGAGCAGTAGAATAGAGAGCAGCAAGGAGGTGAGGCTGCTGAAGTGAGCCGCCTACAGGAGGCTTTTGGGAACCTTGACCCCACTGGACTGGATGATTACAGGACTAACCTGGAATGTGACCTTTGGACACTGGGCTCTGCATTGTGACATTTATCCTTTTGTCTCCTGGACATGGTCACTTTGGGGTGTCTGGAACTTTTGTGCTGCCATTATCTGGTTCATGAGTATTCAAGGCCTGACTTTGCAGTTGCTCCTGCCTTTTGGTGCAAAATGTTGGAACCCAAATACATGAGGACTAGCCTTGCTGCCCCTGGTTTCTACAGAACATAATACACTAATGGTTTCTGCCGGTGCTGCCTGCAGTGCACCCCCCTGAAGGGCCTGACACAAGCAGCCTGAAATTCTGTCCTCTGCTTGAGTCTGTTTTATCCCTGGGTTCTTCCTTAGCTCCATCGGGCATGGCCCCCTTCTCAGCAATATGCCAGGAAGATTTTACTGCAGTCACACAAGAGTTTAAGCATACTTCCTTGTCTTCACCTGCAGAGTCCCCATCTGATCTGCCCACGGCATTAGCTCCATCTGAGCCTACAAGACTATCAGATGCTGAGCTTGTTTGACTAGCATTTTCCCACGCTGGATTAACACCAGTCACAGTAAGGGCACACAGAAAGCAATTATTTTTTATGTGCCCCATTCACACTACAATGCTAGTGTGATGTGTTACAAAAAAATGCTGACATGCTGCATTTTTCTGCAGTGCACTGGAGGTCATTACATTGCAGCACAGCATGCTGCTGTGCAAATACCTGAATAAATTGTACATGCTATACACTGCCCATGAAGTTGTATATACAGTGCTTTGCATTGTTACAACACCTACACACCGCTGTCACCTAGTTGCACGCAAATACAGAATTTTTGAACCAGCCCTAAGTCCTTAACTGACGATTTTACATTAGAGGAGTTACAAGCCGGAGACCATTACTTCCAGATTTGGAGGCTCTTACTAAAGAGATCAGTTCTTCTTGACATTATTTGCACCCTCTTTAAAACTTGATGATCTGCCTGCTGCTTTTACCAGTGTTCAAAGTCTAGACTCTGCAAATATCACAATGGCCTTTCTAGCAATACATTTGAGTGTCTCTTCGGCTCAAGAACAGTCATCATTATTTTTTAGTCTTCAAGGAGACATGCCACTTGTGACCAATATCTGGAGTTCTGTAACCACATGCATTTTTAGGAAGTGAATTCACTTTGAATCAGAATTCAAAAGATCAATGTCATTTATAAACATTTAGGGCCCATTCACACCATTGCAGGGCATTAGTGCATGGGTATCAACGTTCTTTACGTTAATTTGAACAGGCTGCCTATTACACCAAAACAGTTGCATGTGGCAGTTGAGGTGCCATACAGAATGAATAGCACTGCGTTACACCAACACATATAATGTGTGTTGCGCATACTGCAGCAGTTTGGTGCACGGCCTTCAATATTACTGTTATGAAGTGGAGTTCTAGTGTGCCTGTTGACTTAACAAGTCCCATAATGAACCTATTGATCAAATATGTATCTTACACCTGGGGTGCATGGCAGATTCACTGCTTTGCTAATATACCAGTTTAGTGCTCTTACATTTCATTCTACATTTAAAACCTCCTATATAGTTCAGTTTTTTTCTATGACATTGGGTCAGCAACTGGGAGCTGAGCAATAATTCAGTAGCAGAAGTAACTTTACAATGTGCATGCTTAGGTATAAAAAGGACATATTTACGTGTACCTAAAAAATAACTAGAGAATAATTAAAATGTTTTTATTGAAAAAACTTTTCTGAGAAACAAATCTAGCAACGCTACATATCCTGCCCATTCTCCATAAAACCGCTCCTAACCCCTATAAATCAGGCAAAATGAATGTAACACAAAAATATAACAGTTGGGTACATTTATTAACCCCTTCATGACTGAGGCCCTTGGGGGGGCGGCCCCTTCTTCGGGACGCAGAAGCGATCTGGCGACAGGTAAGTCGCCAGGATCGCTTCTGTTGTAAAGCCGACAGTCGGCTCTACAAGTTTAAACAGAGTCCCGGCGGCAAAAGTCGCCGGGAGTCTGTTTAAACAGCCCCGATGCTGGCGACGTACACTGTACGTCGTCAGTCACGAAGGGGTTAAAGTGGACCATTACCCCTTTGATTACAAATCACATCAGCATACAGCTCTGCATTCTGATATGAAATCCTGTTACATCCTTCAGCTAAACAAATATCTATTTTTATTTTACTTACATTTTTTCTCCACTTCCTGGTCCTTTTTGGCACTTGCACATTATGTAATCGTGCCCAAGCATTGCATTTTGGGAAGATTATATCGGCAGAGTATGTGCATGGTCACATGTCCTAGTCCACATGTGCCAGAGTTCCAAGAAGTAAAGGAAGATTTAGTAACCTGCCCTTAGTTTAAATGGCCACCGTCAGGAGACTGGGAAAGAAAATAAAAATATATGCAAAAAATAAAAAGCCTGCAGCTATCTAGATGTATCTTGTGTGTAGATTTTCATTACTAAACATTTCTAAAGGTGCATTTGTTATCTTGAAGATATGGGTAAAGGTCCTATTTAACTAATAGCCATTTTGTTCTAGGAAACCACACTGCAGAAATCTGTTTCCAAAAGTTTGTGCACATGTTAAATATGTTACATTTATATTTCACTGCAGATTGTGCTTCAATAGCTAGGCATTGCTACAAAGTTGTTGTTTTTTGTGTGGCTTTTTTGTTGTTTTTCTGCTGAAATTAAACTCTCTCTTTCATTCATATGCATACATGTATCACTATAAAGAAAAGGTATACTTGGGTTAAACAAAATCCTTTCTTGCAAATACATTCAGCCACCAGATGGTTTAAAGCAATTAGCTGCAGAAAGGATGAAAAGCATAGGATAGCGGAGCAAACCAGACCATTCTAGTACAAGTTAATTATCTTGACATAACTCTCAAAGCAAATCTCCCCAGTCTTAAGGTTACTTGCGGGATGTAACTCATGATAGTGTTACCAATTATCTCTCCTTGTGTTCATGCCTATCTCCAGTTGATTGTGTATCCAAGAGGGGATATTCCAATTTGTGGCTGAAGAGCTACAATCAGCCCATTCAGCGTGAGGTTATTTGTGCAGTGCTCCGCTTGTTTCTCATCATGTGTTGGCAGCTCTTCTCATGGTACCCCACCAACAGAGTAAGTTATCAGCCCATGTGTTCAAACGTCATCATCCATCCATCCATACCACGTAGAACCATGGGGAGGAGTGTACTGGACAACGATTATATATTTCATCTGCAGTTGGACTTGGTCAGGATCAGGGGCGGACTGACCGTTCGGGCGCTGCCCGTGGGCCCGCGGCCATGACGGGGCACGTGGCAGCTGTCGCCCTCTTTGGGTCACTGACTGTCCTGCAATGTCGTCTTGTACTCGTCTTTCATGTTAAGTCCTGGCCCGACGGCTCACTGAGGAATGCAGCGTACAGGCAGAGCTGCCTGTCAGTGAGAGGACTTTAGCACACAGCTACCTCTCACTCATGCTCACGGCTTTGGCAGAGGGAGCACATGTGTGTGTGTGTGTGAGAATACCAGGGGGCCTGGCAGGGGACTTTCCACAGCTCTAGAGCAGCATCCACGATTCTCCAGCAATTTATGTTTGTTTCTAGGGATGCACCGGTACCGGTTTTTCCGGTACTCGCCGATACCAATTACCGAGTAACGGAAGTCCCATTCAGGAAGCCAGGTGGCGTGTTATGACTTGCCACCTGGCTTCCTGCTTAGCCGGGCAGCGTGTAAAGAGTCGCCACCCGGCTTCCCGATATTAACAAGAAAGTCCCCTCTTACCTTAGTATGTGCAGCCTGTCACCTCCGGTGCCTCTCCAGCGAGAACGCGGCCTTCGTCTGGTACCCAACTGGAGCCGTCTGGCCGGCCAATCAGGAAGCCAGGCGCCATTTAATGACGCAACGCACTGCTTTCTGATTGGCCGGGAGGCCTGCTCCATGCTCTCTTGTCATGATATGATGAGGGAGCATGAAGCCAGCTTCCCGGCTAATCAGAAAGCAGGGCGTCATTAGACGGCGCCCGGCTTCCTGATTGGACGGCTCCGGCTGGGTACCAGACGAAGGCCGCATTCTCGCTGGAGAGGCCCCCGGGGGTGACAGGCTGCACATACTAAGGTAAGGTAACCTTACCTCACGAGGCCAGCTTCCTGATTGGCCAGCTTCCCGACCAAACAGGAAGCCAGGCAGCGCGTCATTACACGCTGCCCGGCTTCCTGATTGGCCGGGAAGTCGGCTCCATGCTCTCTCATCACAAGTGACGAGAGAGCATGGAGCCGCTTCCCGGTCAATCGCGAAACCGGGCAGCGTGTAATGACGCGCTGCCCGGCTTCCTGATACCGGAAGTACTCGTGCTAGGCATCGGAGCATTTGGGCGAGTACGAGTACTTGCCCAAATACTCGGAATCGGCACCGATAGCGATACTAGTATTGGTATCGGTGCATCCCTATTTGTTTCCAAAGAAGGAGAATTTTTTTTAGCAAAAACCTACAAATGATGCCTCTTTTGCATCTTGTCACTTTTGATATTAAGCACATGTCGCATGTGAATAAGGCTAAATTGGTTGAACATTTACTTCCCAGACAGCATCAGATGCAATCTGTTAGCGAATTGGCAAAACTAGTGTGAACAGTGCAGGCAGAGACAGTAAGAAAGAGATTTTGGCCTTTTTGTAATAACATTACTGATTCCCATTAATCATGGCTTGATTTCCTTTGACTTCTTTCTGACCTCTGCGTTCTGTGCGTTTCTCCCTTCTGACCTCTGACTAATGCACGTTTCTCCCATCTGACTAATGCGCGTTACTACCTTCTGACCTCTGCGTTCTGTGCGTTTCTCCCTTCTGACCTCTGACTAATGCACGTTTCTCCCATCTGACTAATGCGCGTTACTACCTTCTGACCTCTGCGTTCTGTGCACTACTAACTTCTGACCTCTGTTCTGTGCGCTACAACCCTCTGACCTCTGCTTTCAGTTCGCTACTACTTTCTGACCTCTGCGTTCTGTGCGTTACTACCTTCTGACCTCTGCGTTCTGTGCGTTACTACCTTCTGACCTCTGCGTTCTGTGCGTTACTCCCTTCTGACCTCTGACTAATGCACGTTACTCCCATCTGACTAATGCGCGTTACTACCTTCTGACCTGTGCGTTCTGCGCTTTACTCTGACATCTGCTTTCTGTGTGTTACTTGCTGCTGAGCTTTGCTTTCCTTACTATTGAACTCTGCGTTTTTTTACTGCTGCATATTTGCCACTCTGTGCATTTCTTACTACTTACATTGGTTCTGGTCTTAGGACTGCCATGCAATGGTTCTGGTCTGATGTCTGTCCTGCAGTGGTGCTGGTCTGATGTCTGTCCTGCGTTGGTGCTGGTCTGATGTCTGTCCTGCGTTGGTGCTGGTCTGATGTCTGTCCTGCATTGGTGCTGGTCTGATGTCTGTCCTGCACTGGTGCTGGTCTGATGTCTGTCCTGCACTGGTGCTGGTCTGATGTCTGTCCTGCACTGGTGCTGGTCTGATGTCTGTCCGGCACTGGTGCTGGTCTGATGTCTGTCCGGCACTGGTGCGATGTCTGTCCGGCACTGGTGCTGGTCTGATGTCTGTCCGGCACTGGTGCTGGTCTAAGGTTTGCATATTGCACATGCAATATGTATCCATACCCCCACTCCTATCCTAGATTATTCACTTCTCCTGTCCATTCTCCTACTAATTATCTTGTCATTCAGGATGGCGTAATAGGTCAAAATATCCAAACCAGAAAAATTCTGCCGTTTTTTAGCTCACTTTCCAAATTACCTACTGTATATTAGTCTAGATTTAAGATTATCCTACCAATTCCCCTGCAATTCACTTTTTAGTGAATAGATGTGTTATTTTAAAAATAGTATGGAAAAATAATCCCTGTAACATAGGAATGTACATGTGGGTGGGGCTTGTATATGGTTGGAGCACAAAGGGGCCCCATAAACACGCATTGCCCGTGGGGCCCTATGTGTTCTCAGTCTGCCCCTGGTCAGGATCTACTGTGTTTGACAGGCATTGCTTTTTTTTCACTCCCTTTCCCACATGCAGGCATCTCCCACTTGAAGATTTAAAGGGGCATGCCTGACATAATTGAGGACAACTAAGGATATACATTTTTCACATAAATATATCCCTGTCATTTTCTATACAGAAGTGCAGATTGCGGCATGCTCAAAGAAAAAGAAAAGTTTACCTATACAGTAATTTACGGGAAATCACTGCTCCCCCACCACCCCAATGGGTTCACAAACAGAAATCAACAAATGATATCTGCATTGTTTTTGGATAGAATTGAAGTGGTTTAGATGCACTCTGTCTGTAGAGAAGGGAAAGGTTTTATTGCTGCTTTAGGGGGGAGATTTGCACTGTATTAGGACAGGAAGTTTGGTAAATTTCCCTATCCTTGAAGAAAAAAAAACTCAACAGATTCCCACCTCCATCCAAAATTACCCCAAGTGGGGATAGTTTGAAGTTTGCCTGTTACAAAGCATGTACATATTAAAGTGACATTAAACCCTCCAGATTTTTTAACATAAACCAATACTGTAATGTGTGCCTTACTGTAATCCATGGTTGTTTCCCTTCTCTTTGCTGCTCTTCCTTTTAAATCCTCATGTCTTCTCATGCTGAGGGAGAACTTCCCTTTGCAGCTGAGTGCCTCTTCCTGTAGTGCTGGCTCAGGTTGTGAACCTGCACACAGACACCATGTATCCATTTCAGAGACAAGGCAAAACAGAAGTTCTGCCCAGCATGAGAAGAGATACGGATTTAAAAGGAAGAGCAGCAAAGAGAAGGGAAACTACCCTGGATTACAGTAAGGCACACATTACAGTATTGTTTTATGTTAAAAATCTGGAGGGTTTAATGTCACTTTAAGTTGTTTCTCCATACTGCGCAAAAATGTAATTCTTCTTTTGTTTGTTTGTTTGTTTGTTTTTCTTACTAGCTTCTCCCATTGGACAGCAGCATTCTTGAGGAGCATAAGAAGGAGGTTATAGAAGCCAAACAGATTGTCCGAAAACTAACCTTGGTAGTTCTCTCTTCTGACAAAAATGAAGATAAAGACAAGGAAAAGGAGAAAGATGATGAAAAAAATGAAAAGGTAAAAGTGATTTCTGGACAGGTGTCATTGTGGGTTCTTTTTTGTAATTTTGAGAATACTGTAGATTATTAGAATGTGAAATTTGCCTATTACATTTCAGGAACAAAGCAGTGACAGGTTCAAATGGGGTGCATATACAGTATGTTGGCTAAAATGTTTTGTATTTCTTGCCCTTCAGATAAATTAATATTTTAATGTCTGGTAATACTTGTATTAAAAATCCTACTGTAGTGGAGGCAGAACAGGGAACAGTGGTGTGACTTAGAATCGGTGTGGGAACATTTTTAGATATTGTATATTTTTTACATTTATTTTTCTGTTTTCCTTTCTGATAGATGCTAAATGTTTTGTTTCAATCATGAAGCGCTGTTTATATAAAGCTATCGTGAACAAAACGATACATAATTCATGATAACTACTTCCTATATGCAGAAAATCTTCAAGTGACCCTAAACTCAGGAGTTGCATCTTAAACATGGATTCAAGTATCCTAACTATTAACAAAAATGTATCTTATTTGTCTATCGCTCTTCTGCAGATCCTTAAATCATCTCTCAATTGTTGCTGACTCTGTCCTTCCTTCTGAAGGGAGGCTACTTTTGTTCTCCATGGTCCCTGTGTGTGATGTAAAGTAGCCACTGCTCCATGCTCGCTCCTGTGATGGACTACAATCTCAGGTTTAGTTAACTAATATGTATTGAAATTACAACACACACAGGGACCACGGGGAACAAAAGTTGTCACCCTCCAGAAGGAAAGACAGTGTCGGCATGAATTCAGAGATGATTTGAGGCTCTACAGCTGAGTGATACACAAATAAGATACATTGTTGTTCATAGTTAAGGTACTTTGAATGCAATTTTGGGATTTAACTCCAGAGTTTAGTGTCAGTTTATGCAGAAGCTCATCAAAACTTGAAATGCAGCTACTGTACATGTGTAGTGTTTTCTGCTTCCTGCATGTGACTTTTTCTTTGAAGAAAGGGTAACCTGTTACATACAATGGCTGTGGTCATATGACAGTGCTCTCCTCCTATTCATGAGTGTTCTATGCTGCGCTGAGCAGAGAATATATTGCATAATCGGATGCTGAGCCCTGAATTTTATAAATGAATGGGCAGTGTGGAGTCTTTGTAGTGTTTTGGTGAATTTAGATATTCCTTTTATAAATGGACCCTTTGTAAAGAAGAGCGCAGAGAAAATAAAATCATAACCCTTTCAGTGAGCTACCCCTGCACTGCAAGGGTTAAGTGCTATTTTAGCTCCTTAGACAAAATGAGCAGAGTTATACTCAACTGAAGCACGATCCCAGCTGGCTGCTAGACTGGTCCCTTGAGCCTCGCTCTAGCGATCTAAAGTCTTCTGAGTCATCATGTTCGATAGTGTATAGGATGTGTGGATGCCGAGGGACATACCATTGCTGGGGCGGGGGAGATGGGCTGAAGGAACCCCTCTAGCAGCCAGTTGGGATTGGGGTTTGGGTGAGTATTTGAAAAAGTGCAGGCTTACCTGAGCAGTCTTCCAGCAACTTGTTTCTGAGATCGGGCCTGTCTATCTGCGGCTGTCATCCCCCCACACCTGCTCCTCCTTACTACATCTCCCCATGTCCCTGTGCCGATCGTGGATGTGGGTGGTGAGTGTGAGGCGGGAAGGAGATGCGGCGTGTAGAGCGTGGATGCGGGTGTGCGGGTCTGGCAGCGGTGAGCGTGAGTTGGGGAGGAGGTGTGGCGCACAGCGTGTGTGGAGCCGTGAACAGGGCCAACTGATCGGAAGCCGATTAATCGATTATTGAAAAAGTTGACAACTTTTTCAATAACCGATTATAATCGATTGTGTTGATTAGTTGTTGCAGCCCTAGTGAGTATAACTTTACTTTAGCTCCCTAGGCAAAACGAGCACTTAACCTTCGCAGTAATGGGGTAGCCCCACTGCGAGGGTTAAGATTTTTTTTTTTTTGACCAAAGTTCTGTAAAGTTTCAGGATATGTAACTTTATATTTTGGGTACTTTCAGTAATAGTAATTTACTTCCATAATCTTTGACTGATTAAAGGTATTTTAAATGGTGACAAAAATAGGCATACAGTTCCTTGAATCACTTTCAATCTTACTGTTCTTTCTTACATTTTGCATAAATGTATAGTTACGCGGGAAAAAATGTGTTGCAATCGCAGCTATTGGGGTTGATTTTACTAAAGTAATAAGCAGGGCTTGAAAAATTTTAGGGTGTCTCACCAGTCAGTCAAAAATGTCACCAGTCAGCATGACCGGACTATAGCCTTCCAATTTGTTTGGTGGTATTTAATCACCACTATTTTTTACTATATAATGAAAAAAGTACCGTAAATTTAGAGAGAAAAAAAACGTTTTCCCTGTTATGCTTTTGGTAAAATATTAAATTTGGGGTGACGTCTGGCAAATAGACACCAAACATGTCAAGCTTTAAAATTGCGTGCGCCCGCAAAATTGCAAAAAAATACCATATCCAAAATTGGCCGAGGGCAGTGCTTTAAAAGCTTTTGCTACCCATCAGTTTAGTGTTAGTAGTGAATAATGGCCCTAAAATTATTGCCTTCACTCTGACTTTCGCAGTGATATGTTACGTGTGGCACAATTGGCGCAATCGCCATTTTCACACATAGTCGCACCTGACGCATGTTTGCGTGTATGTGGGGGCAGGGGACGGACTTTAAAAAAAAGTGTATATATACAGTCGTGCTCATACGTTTACATAGCCTGGCAGAATTTTATCAATTTCTGGCCATTTTGCAGAGTATATGAATGATTACATGAAAACCTTTCCGTCACTCATGGGTAGTGTTTGGCTGAAGCCATTTATTATCAATCAACTGTGTTTACTCTTTTTCAATCATAATGACAACAGAAGCTAAAAATATATAATATTTGACCTTACATTTTTTTTTGCGGTAACTTTTTTATTTAAAAAGAAAAAAAAAATCACTTCACTTTATTGCTATCGCATAGGGGGCTAAGAATCCCCCATGTGATGGCCAATTTAAACTGACTGACCCCTTTATGGAGGCATCAGTGGTCTCTAGGGACCTCCCAAAAAGCTGATGAAGTAGAGGTCTGATTCTCTAGCTACAGAAGCTGGAGAATGACAGCTGAATGTGGAAGTGATGTAATATACATCACTCCTGCATTCAGAGAACGACGAGGAGGAGATCAGAGGGAGATCATGTGATGATCTCTGTTGACAGAGCCGCCCTGCGAATGCCGAGCCCTCACCGGACACAACGGGGATCGGCAGCGGCTCTACAGCCGCCGGACCGGTTGTATGTAAACAGTCATCTAAGAAGCTCTGAGGCCTGCTGTTTAATTATAACCGCCGGCCGGGAAGCGGTTAAACCGGCGCGAGCTGCTACTCGTCTGGCTCCGGCGTCCTTTCGTCAGAGGATGAGTTAATTTGCAAGCCCTAGTAATAAGACATTTTTACTTTGCAAAGTGAATGTTCACTTAGTAGATAAGGTGAAGATTCTATAGTAATCTAGTTATGTACAAACAGAAAGCTAACCTTTTTTTTTGCTTTTAAATGTCAACCACATTGTGTTTCTTTCAAGACCTCATTCTTACTCTTCCTTCTGTTTCATTGTAGAATTCTTTTTAAAACACAATTGCTATTTTACATTCATAAAACTGTCTCCATTGCCCCAGTTTGAACTTTCTAACTGCTTCGAGTGCTTTATGTTGTGATTGTTATTCTGATTCTGACTTTTCTTTAGTTCTCCTTTTTAAATTGGATTGTGTGAAATGATTTCATGGTTTGTTTAGTTTAGTGCCGTGAATGTAAATAAAATTGCAGAACTATACTCAAGAGGCAGCGCAAATGAGCAGAACCAAAATCCTAATTCATATTTTATTGTTGAATGAAGCATAATTTGATTATATGCTCACTGGTAAAATTATTAGCTCACAAAGAAAGTTCATTATTTCTAAACATGCCGGGATATTTACTACTTGCTGACTTGTAATTTGAGATCCATTTTCCTTCTGTAGAATAATTTTAAGTGTTTCCTTAAACTTTTGACTGCATTATTTTTGCTTTGATATAGAATTGACTCTTGATACAATTTCTTGCTGTTTACGGTAATCACTAGAGGGTAAACCAAATGTTTCTTCTTTATACTGGCTTAAGATTTGTCAGAATGTATTTAAATGGCTAGGTAATCAGTGTAAAAATAGTTTGAAGCATAAATGTGAACATTTGAAAGCAGCTTTAAAGAAGAACTATGAGGTGAGTGCTTTTCACTCACCTCATAGTTCTAGCCGACCTGTGACAATGAGACTGTCACAGGTCGGCTCAGTAGATCGAGAGGTGAGCGAACACATACCGGCGTTCGCTCACCTCTCGATCCTGTCACAGCTCTCTGCCGTGACAGGGGAGAGGCTGGATTCCCCCCTCCCCGCTCCGATCCGCCAGCACTGACTGGCGGAACGGGAGGGGGCGGGTACAGCTGGCTCTGCCTCTAGATAGGCAGAGCCACCTGTCAGTCACGCAGCTGGGCGGATCCCAGCACAATTGTCGGTATCCGCTTCAGCTGCGGCGTCTCAGTATACCGCGAACTACAGCTCGCGGTATACTGAGCCTAGAGTGACGGGAGGACACTAGTTTGTGTCCTCCCGTTACCCTAAGGAGAACTATGGGAAAAGCCTTAACCCCATAGTTCTCCTTTAATCTCGTTCTGAAGCAAGTCATAAACTGCAGAGGATGAAGACTAAAATGCTCTTGTTTTTTTTTTTTTTTATATTTTGGAAAGGTTTATCCCTTTTATCCTATAACATTTAAACTGTATTTCCACTTTATTTACTTTTGATAAAGTGATTAGTTTACGTCCTGTCCTGCTGACAATGGTTTCATCAGACAGGAAGGGAGGGGAAATCTCTTAAAGGCAACTCAGACCGAAAACTGTAGGGAATCTTCCATAAAGATGGCCACTAGGTCTTTACAGTACATCCTGATTCTTTCAAGACTTCCCATTTTACCACAATAAGTGTATATTGTTCTAAAGCGCACTTTAATGGAGTCTGATGTAGAATGGTTGTAGTTTGAGTGCCTGGTATCTGCCGAATCACAGTTGTCCAAGCCCGCCAACATTTTAAACAGCTGCTACATGGCTTCTTTAAGGTTGCAGATTGTTATTCAGAATCTGTGCTTTTTCTCCAACACTTGTGATGCAGCCTATCGCACCTAACCCACTCACATCCACTTATAACTCTGTGATAACAGGCAAGTAGCATTCACATATGGGATACTATAGTAGTCCTTAAAGTGACACTGTCACAAAAAATGTTTAAGTGCTGGGCCATTTAGAATTGGCAACCTCTGACTATTCCAGGTACTTTCAAAGCTTGCCCTTTCCTTTTCCCCTCCCTACCATATGATCCTATTAGTCTGTCTGAGCTGCCTCATTGGACAGTTGGAATGGTGGTGGGGAGGTTTTGGCATGCTCCTTCACTACTAAAAAGCATTCGCGTTTCAAGGGGGCTATGAAAGTAGCCACAGATGTTTGATTGCAGATATCTGGGGACCTGTCATAGAGATGCAGGAGACGGGAGATAATTTGATTAAGCAGGGTCTTATGGAAAATTCAGCCGAGAATGCAAGAAGTTTCTGTAATGGCTCCAAATGGACAGACCTTGAAGCTAACATTTAGAGAACTTTATTTCAAAGTCCTAATGAGTTATTGATAATGAGAAATGAGAATAAACCAGTGGTTGATTACTAACACCATAATGTTTCCAAAAAGGTAAAGTAAACGAGTTAGGAAAATGCCTTTTTGTTCCTTGTATTGTTTGTTCTTTTGGACCCAAAAGAGTGCATACTCTCTAATGTAACTATTTGGTAAGTGTGATGTGTTCCGAAACGTTTCTACATAACAGCACCTCAATGAAAACATTGTAGTGGAAATAGTTGTATTATGTTGGTAGGTTCTTGCTGGCCCCTGAGGTTTGTACTATGAGATCTTGCTGTAAAACTGTTAGTCTAGATATAACATTGTGTAGTTTGTCAAGGGATGAAATGTATTTATACATGTACAAAAAATAACTGCTTTATTCAGTCATAAACTATTTAGTCACCAACACACTTGTTTGCAGGCTATTGACAACCAGAAGCTTGGTTTACTTGAAGCACTACTGAAGATTGGAGACTGGCAGCATGCTCAGAATATAATGGATCAGATGCCGCCTTTTTATGCCACCTCCCATAAATCAATTGCAATAGCGCTGTGTCACCTTATTCATATAACCATCGATCCTCTCTATCGAAGGTAAGCTTGAGTTAAATACATTTTGATCATCTTTTCAATGGACCAGGATGCCTTGTATTTGGATAACTCTCAATAAAAAGGTATGGTGTGGCAGATGTGAACTGGTATTCCTGCCTTTTTGTTTTTGGCAAGCCGGTATCTGCACTTGCCCTCTTGTATACCTATGCAGGGATTTGCAGCTATAGGAATTTGTCTCTGTAAAGGAGGTGATGCTTCCCAGATAGTGGGTGAGGTTTTTCAATGCTGCACATTTAACAGTTTTTAAATCTTTCACAGACAATCAATTATGAATAGTGCACTTGTGCTGCTTCAGCTTCTGGCTGCTGTTGAAGAGCCCAGCCATGTATGACTTGTCAGAGATCATCTCATGCATATCTGATTGCTATAGATTGCTTTACATTGATCTAAACCTGATGTCCAAAGTCAAACCTACTTTAAAAAGCTGCTTGTATGTGTTTAGATGTGATTTGTAAACCCTTACAACAGCCACTTATGCTGGATGGCTTTCTCTTTATTTAATTGTGGATACAAATATGAATGGAATTTACATCATGAATACTATCATTACAAGTATTAGCTACATAAATTTACCATTTTCTGCTATAGTGGTCCCAGGCTTTGCATCTAAACCCAATTACTATTCAGTTCATTGTGTTACATGCTATATAGAAATGGCCTTAACTGTACCTGGTCCACACTAGTCTAAATAGTTTAATTGCTTTGGTATTTCTCTCCGCTGTACAGAAGTTGCTAATGAGATGGGGATCAGTATGAGGAGGTGGGGTCTCAGCCAGTCTGGCTTATAAGGAGCAATGGAAAGTCGGATGTTGCCCCGCAGTTGTTAAATCGGCATAGGCCACCACCTCTTGATTAAAGCAGAACAGGGAAAAATGTAGTTAATCCTTACTCCATTGCACTGCAATGGTTAAGTGCTGAAAATAACAGTTCTACTCACCCAAACCTCAGAGCGGACTGGATGTTAGACCGGTCCTTCCAGCTTCTCTCCCCCTCTGCTCCAGCGGTCTAAAGTTCCTGCAGTCATCACGTCCAATATACTTTGTATTGGAAGTGAGGATGCCGAGGGACATGCCATTGCGGCAGAATAGGAGGAGAGAGGCTGGAGGGAGCACTGTGACAGCCGGATGGCTCCGTGGTTCAGGTGAGCGTAACTTTAGTCCCTAATACAAAAACGAGCCGTTAACCCTTGCGGGGCAAGGGTACCCTTATTGCAAGGGTTAATAATTTCCCCGGTTTTCTTTAAAAGAGAGAAACCCTGAATATAGTAAATACTGTGAGGTCAGGCAATACCGAGATGCCTTTCTTTATAAAAATAAATATTATGTAAATAGTTTTTTTTTTTTTTAAACTCTGCCACTAATTGAATAACCTCGTTTTGGGGAGAGGTAACTTATTTAGGGTTTAAATGGTTGTGTTCTTAATTGGTATATGTCCTGTTTTCATTTCTCATATTATTTTGATCCTTTGTGTATATTTCCCTTGATCTTAGCATAGTGGCCAAAAAGCAGACATAAACAATTTGGCCCTCATGTAGGGCTACTGTTTGTGAGATTTTCTCTTATTGAGTGTACACACATTATGTCCATATATGATTGTCAATGGTCAATACTAGTTGCTGGTGTGGCCCCTTTTTTAATGTGTGAGTGAAAAGATGTGTACACATTAGAAAACGTTTAGTATTTTCCAGCCAGATTCTTAATTTTAAATGATTACTTTAGGAATCAATTGTACCTTGAAAATGATGTAATGCCATATTCACCAGTTAACCATGTCCTAGATCTAAAATACAGTTAAAACTCGATGCTGGCGACGTACACTGTACGTCGTCAGTCACGAAGGGGTTAAAGGAGAACTATGAGGTGAGTGAAAATCACTCGCCCTCAGAGCTCGAGCCGACGTGTGACACACTATCACACGTCTGCTCTATTGATCGCGAAGTGAGCAAACTCATACCGTCGCTCGCTCACTTCTCCATCATCTCCCTGCAGAGAGCAGTGACTGTCAGTGACGGCTGTTCCGATCCTCTAGCGCTGGAGGAATGGGTAGGGGGCGGGTACAGCTGGGTGGATCTCAACAGTATTGTCGGCATCCATCCTGACTGCCGCAGTCTCGGTATACCGCGAGCTGTAGCTCATGATATACTAGCGTCCTCCCATGACCCAAAGTTTAGTATATGTCCTCGCGTGACCCTTAAGAGGACTATGGGGAAAAACACTAATCCCATTGTTCTCTTTTAACATTACGGATTGTTTCAATTTTAAGGAAGGCACTGCTAAAAATCCTTCATTATAATGGTAAATTATTTGTCGGCTGTACTGATCTGTGTCACAGAAGCTGTCTACACAGTTGGCCAGGTGTTCTGAGAACCATTTTATTCAGGTGAACGTCACTGAACAGAATGAAAGGGATTAGGATGAGGCCTGTTTAGTCTATAAATATGCCTTCAATCTGACTTTTTATAGCTTTAAGCCATATTCTGCCAGGCTGTAACCTTTTACCATCTTTTGATTTTGGGTGTTGGGCAGTTCCTGTAAAATTTAAATGGGTCCACCCTTTATGGGAGATTTGAAGGTGACATTATATAGTACTTTTTTATGGTTGACTGTGGTCATGATGAAAAAGTCTAGCTAGTTTTGCTCCCTAGACCTGTCGTTATACACTTGAACATTATTAATGGTTTCTGTTGCTAAATTTAATACTGTCAAATACAAAATACTTTTATACTGTTTTTTTTTTTTTATTGTGTGCAACAACTGTCTGCATTTGTTTTCTAGGGTGGGAGTGCCGAAAGGTGCCAAGGGATCTCGTGTTTACCGTTTGCATAACAAGAAAGCACCAAAACCAGTGGAATGCTTTGAAGATATGAGAAGAGATGTATTCAACATGCTTTGTTCCCTTGGTCCACATCTAGCACATGATCCCATTTTGCTGGCAAAAATTGTTAGACTTGGCAAAGCTTTAATGAAGGAGGTTTGTGGGTTTATTTTTATTTTTTGTATTTCTTTCACTAGTTATGTCGAGCGTAAAGAATAGATGTTTTTAATGTCTAACAAAATATTGGTCACTCAAGCACAGACACAGAGATATTCTTTATTTACAGTGTGCCTGATGCTGCGTTATTCTGGGTATGCTTCTTCAAAAGGATCTGTTATGTCTTGTCTTGTCTGTCCATGTGTTCAATGGCTCAGCACACTGTATTGTTAATGGTTTTCATGTGGCTGACCAGGGAGTTCTGTTTACAATGCTGAAACACATTGCAAACAGTATAGAGCAGTCCTTGTTTCAGCTGCTGTTACTAGACTGTGCTCACAGGCCTATTTATTTTATGTTGGCTGTGAACCTGGTTCATCATTATGTGGTTGACTTTCTGTGTTTATTCTTGACGAAAACTTAATAAAAAGCATGTTATTTTGTAAGAGTTCTAAAAGAAACGTAACACTTAGCAAGGGATCACAAGTAATCTTTAATAAGCTATAATACGCCTACATTTTTAAAGTGACTCCCAGAACAAAGCAAAAGGGTCACTGCATGGGTAAGGCAAGGATTCATTTAAAGCTAATTAATTGTTCTTTTTCTAATGTTCTTAAATGTTTAGATATACCTGTGAGATTTTGCTACCCACTCGGTTTAACCAATTCTGTGAATATTTGTTTGACTATGCTTTACTAGTGGCAAGGAAGGTATTTGCTATTTGGATCTATCAGGTTTTTACAACTTTTAGGATCCTAGATGGGAAATGTCTCCTTTTTTTTGTTCCCTGTCAATGCCATAGCACATCTCTTCTCTTTTGCAACTTAAATTGGGATACGGCCTGCTTTATATATTGCTCCAATTCATATAGCTTAACTATTATGCTAGTATAATAGGGCTGCAGCTAACTTATTTTCATCAACTAATCGATTGGTTCTATAAAAAAAAAATCTTGTGTATATGTGCTGGTGTGTGCCCTGCTCAACCCCCCCCCCCTCGTCTGCTG